ATACTGTCCTAATCAACCATGCCGACAGCAATGTTTATTGCATGCTTATAATATGCACTGTGCCACGCACAACTGAGAATTATAAAGAAGAATGAAATATGGTTCTGGCCCATAAGAGTTTACTTGATCAGTATAGATTTCATGTAAATTAACATATAAATTGGAGAATAATGTAAAATAAGAACTAGGTGAAGGACACAAACAGAAATGCTATAAAGGCTTGAAAGAAAGATCTATATGGAGCCTTCACATATCTGGAGATTTTAATTGTTACTCTCTCCAATGAAAGAGCCACTCCTCTAGCCAGATCAGCCTCCTTATTTTCATTGAATCATGAATGTTCATACACTTCTAAATGCTGTGCTCATTTCACTTGGCAAAGCACTCCTAAGCTTCACCTTCTTACTAAATTTTAATATTTAATTTCAATTTAATTTTAATTTTAATACTTAATTTCAAGATTTAATTATTTAATATTTAACTTAGATTTTCTAATCTATCAGTCAAAACTTAATTAATTCTACATAGTTTTGCTGAAAGAAGTATATACTGCCACTAAGTGAAACTAGAGATACTCTTCTGGATCAAGCAGCTTATCTTTTCATGCTCATGGTTACCTGAGAGAAAAGAATAATATGCATTTCCTTTGATTTATGCATTTTGCACAAAGTAAAATATTTTACTAAAGCAACTAAATTAAAATAATAACTATTGCTGCTAATTTTTTTTAAGGCTACAACTTAATAAATTATTTTTGACCACATAAATGATATTCTATGAGTCCAAGAACCTAAGCATAACTATCAATGTATCCAACACAGGACGTATCTTATGAATATTTTTTAAATAGAATGGACAATGTATACATATATATGATATATTATCATATGATATATATGTCAGATTAAATTGCTCTTGATCTTAAATTATAAAACCTCTTACAGAAGATTTTAGGACAGGTAACTAATAAACAAATTCTCAATTTTTGAGAAGGTTCCTTTTACATTGATAAGTTTAGAAGTAATGCTTTTTTAAAAAAGCAGATTTTCACATTTCTTAGACTGCAGAGTATAAACAAATGGGAAATCTGTTCGACTGTGAAAACAAAAAAGGTGAGATTCAGAGCTTTTTATTTTGCCATTCCCATGAGCTGTATGTCTTAAACTGTGTATTTTACTAAGACAGAAGTTCTAACATTGCCAAGCATGACCTTTAAATTTCAGTTCCTCTTAAAACTAAAAAATATGTTTTAAGTCTTCCATTTTTTTTCCATCAGTCTCAGATCAAGCATCTAATGGTCCTGTTATGATCACCATCTTCTTCTTAGAATATGGACTTTTCCCTAAACAGAAATAAAATAAGGCTCCTACAAAGCAAGATAGTTATTTGGTATGCTTGCCAATATTCTTGTGGAAGAAGTTAAGTGGCAGGATATCTAAGACATTCAGATTTAAATCCAGAAATAAAAAATTCTTGACATTTCATAAAATTGAAGAGGTTGGTCATGGTTTCATAAAACTCACTGATTTTATTATAGTATTCCCAGCTTTTCCAAAGTTTCACTACTAAGTTTAACTGTAATGGTACTTTGTGGACTGAGTAAAGATAAATTTTAGTGTTTTCATCCTGCTCAAACTTTCTTAAATTTCTACATTCCTTAGCAATGTTAGTTCACAAAGTTGCTTTAAGTCAAATTCTTCAAAGCAATCCCACCTATACATTTTTTTTATCTTGAACTTTTTTTTTTAAAGATTTTATTTATTTATTTGAGAGAGAGAGAATGAGAGAGAGAAAGCACATGAGAGGGGGGGAGGGTCAGAGGGAGAAGCAGACTCCCCGCCGAGGAGGGAGCCTGATGCGGGACTCGATCCCGGGACTCCAGGATCATGACCTGAGCCGAAGGCAGTGGCTTAACCTTTCTTACAAATTATCTTTGCTAAATTATTACATGCAACAGAGCTACCTTTATAGAGAAGTGTAACTTATTCTGAATGCAACTCTTTAGTGATGCTTTGAAATTGGTACTTCCTTTCCCCCTATTTTGGCTTTCAAACAACTTGGTGGGAGTCAGGAGAAGTATGGATATATTACTGAGTTTCTGCTTGGCAACTCCGCAAATGACTCCTACACTAATTTGCCATGCCTTTTGGGCTATTGCTAAGGAGTTATGCTAATGTCAGCTGGAGGCAAATCAACCCAGCCCTCTAATGTTTGACTAGCTTCAACTCACTGACCTATATTTCTCATAGGGTCTCCCTTGAATTAACATTGTCTTACTCAGAGAATATATATTCACTATCTCCTACTGTAGGTCAAATGGGAACTGTTCCCTGGGAAAGAATGTGAGTAATTTGGCTGAGAAATGTGCTGGACTGTGTGAAATTGTTTTGGCCACTGTGCCCCGTTTTCCCCCTTCTGTGGTCTCCTTTTATCATAGGGGCTGGAAGCCTGGGAACTTCAAGAACATTTTCAAGAATTCCTGCCAGTATGGTCCTAGGTTAGATTCTGCCAATGAGAGGAACTAATGTAATTCTGGAAGGCATAGGAAAAGCAACAACAATTATTATTCTCATGGCTGTGGATGGCATTTACCAAGGCCTGAGCATCGAGATTTTGCCAGCAGCTTCCTGGTATCGTCCAAAGAAATCACCTGCTTTAGTGCAGGGGGCGGTGAAATCAGTGGCATTGATTTTTTTATAATCTGAACATTTTCTGATTTCCTAAATGATACAGTGGCCTCCCTAACTTCTTTCCCAAGCCTTCTAATGGTTTTTTAAATCCCCTTTATTAAGCCATTTGTTGTGTGAAATAGCTGGAGTTCTTTCCAGCTTCCTACTGAACAGCAATAGATATAGAGCCTCTGGAAGAAAAGGAATCCAGAATTCATCTCCTTTTTAAAGCAGGTGGTCCTGACTGAGGCAAGAAACCAAGGATCCCAAATAAAAACTCACCAAGAGGAAAAGGTGAGAATAGGCTGGTGATCTGGAATCAGCTTCAAGGCTGTCCATACAGAGTTTATTTGGACATGTGTAAGTAAGGCTAAAAACCACCTGTCCCAGGCAACCAGGCAAAATGACATGCTTTGGAATTATTAGCTGGGCATGCAAATGACAACTGAAAGTTGTAACTTTGAAAGCATGTAAGATACCATCTCTGCTTGTGTAGATATTAAGCTCAGCAAGAACCAGTGTAGCATTAAAGAGAGATGCATCATATCTCATCTTCATCCCTCACAGAGATGGAAAAGTCATCATCAGCGGAAATCTTCCCAGTCTTCCAACAGATCTACAAACAAACCTCCATCTGAAACCTTTCCTTCTTTTTCATAACAATGTAGGAATTTTGTATGAACCAATTCAAGATTAGACCTGCTTTCTCAGTGATCTACAGCTTTTAGTTATCCTGTCTCTGCCTCTTTCTTCAGTTCCTTGCCACCCAAAATAATGTTAATAAGTGTGCAAATGTGTTTGCTCCAGGAACTTAAAACTACAAAAAAAGATCTCTTTTAACCAATATTAAACTCTACTCTACAAAAAGATCTCTTTTAACCAACTTTAAAGTCTACTTTACCTGCCTTATTATTAGCCAAACTTTTCAAAATAGATTTTTATTTATACTGTTTCTGTTTTACTACCCCCAAACATCTGTCAACTCATTCCATTTTAGCTTCTTTAAATTTTCACTATTCCTCAAAACCTTCTCTGGCTATGGTCATTCACTCATTCATGCATTTTTTTCATTTAACAAATATTCACACAGCCTTATGTTAGGAGTTACATATATACATATAACTTATAAAATATATATTTTATATATATATATATCATATATATATTTTACATATATAATGCATATATCTGCTAATATAATGCTGCATGATAGATAGATACATAGATACATAGATAGATAAATAGATGGGGTCATTTCTCATATCCATCTACTGTCATTTCCCGGCCAGTGAAAAAAGGAAAAAAGGAAATGTAGGACAAGCAGGGTTTTTTTAAGGATATAATCTGAAACTTGCATACATCATTCATGTATATATATGTGAAAAAGGGAAAGTGTCCCTGCCTTGATTAATGATGTTTATGTTGCAAATGCAATCAGCATCTTTTTCCTAATCAATTTATTCTTTGTAAAGTAAGAAAAAAAGTGTAACACAAACTTACCACAAGTTAAAAAATATGAGGATAGATCTATAAATGGAAATGCAGTAATCTTTCCCCAACTAATTAGTTAATTTTAGTAGTATGATGTAGATTCTTCCACACATTTCTCTATACTCACATAATTTAGGTTGCAACACATGAAATTGCTGATATTCTACTGTTTTTTTACTTACAGCAGTATCAAATGACTGAACCTAATACATATGTACATGTATAGAGATTAAAAAATATGAATGGTGGGGCGCCCAGGTGACTGAGTTGGTTAAGCATCTGCCTTTGGCTCAGGTCATGATCCCAGCGTCCTGGGATGGAGTTCAGCATTGGGCTCCTGGCTTCTCAGGGAGTCTGCTTCTCCCTCTGTCCCTCCTCCCACTCCTTCCCTCAATCTCTCTCTCTCTCTGTCTCTCATTCTCTCTAATAAATAAATAAAATCTTTAAAAAAATATGAATGGTTATATGAATGGATAATATCTGTGTTCACCTTTGTTGGGGAAATGTAAAAATAAAATCTTCTGCCAACCTGGAAAAATGTTTCCACACAGGTAGGAGAGAAAATACTTATTGAATAAGCATTAAACAAGAATATGATGAGCATAATAGGCAATCCACTAAGAGATTGCAAAGGCAAAAGGAAATCTCACTCTTCTACATAATCAAGCAGATACAATGCATTTCATTTGTGTTGTGAGGATAAACAGTAACTATTGTTTCAAGTAAGAGGACTTGACAGCACCATTTGTCATGCATAGTTCATTCTAAATTCACCTGATAATTGAGATGACTCATTGTGCTAGTTAATTGAATTTACCCAAAGGCAAATTAAATTCTTACCTTTATGACCAGAGATAGTTTTGCAAGTTGGCTAAGTTTGGGCTCCTCCTACCTGTCCACAGAAACTGGGATATAGGAGTGCTATCTTCTTTAATGATTACATTTCAAACGCGTGATTCCCAGGTCCTAGAGAAAGATATTCCTGGATTATAAAAATGACAAGAGGCTTATTTAGACTTTAAAAAGATTTACATACATTTCAAAGAGAATTTATAACCACAAGTTTTCTAAAGTAAATGTTTGAAAAAAGGGAAGGTAGGATATCTCTTCCCTTATTTTTCACAGGGAGGATTAAGCCTCCTAAATTTGTACTTAACCTTCCATCTTACATATCAAGAATCAAAACATTTACATAAAATTAACTACCTTTATTTTTATCACAAAATGTTATCACCCAATATTTGAATAGTTGGGGTCTCTATGGTAGTAACTGTGATGCGCCGAAGAGTGAGGTTCTTGTCTCACTGAGTCGAAGAATGAATCTTGCAGACAAAGGACAGTGAGTAAAGAGATAGAAGTTTGTTAAGCAAGGATACAGAAAAAAAGTTCTCAGGAGTGAAAGGGGTCCCGACAGGGTTGCCACTGAGGGCTTTTAGGGATGGTCTATTATAGAAAGCTAACCAGGGAACTTAAATCTTTTTAACATCTCTATTGATAGCACCATTGAGTAAGGACTAGTGATAACACCTTCAATGGCTTACTTCCTTTTTAGGATCCGGGTAATTCTTGGTTGGTCATTAAGTAGCTGTTATAACAAGACCTCACCTCTGACACCTAGGACAGGATGGTCAGGTTTGTCCCTTATCTCTGGTTTCCTTTCATCTCCCACATTTTGAATTTTGTGAGCCTGATCCCATGGCCCCCTACCTATCTCTCCCTACCTAGCCCCACGTGTCCCTTACTCAACTATAGAAAGCAGAAAAGAGACTATGGAAAATTTGGGTTAATAAATTTATAGGGGCACCTGGGTGGCTCACTCAATTAAGCGTCTGACTCTTGATTTCGATTCAGGTCATGATCTCAGGGTCCTGGGACTGAGCCCCAAGTAGGGCTCCTTGCTCAGTGGGGAGTCTGCTTGAGGACTCTCTCAGTCCCTCTGCCCCTCCCCCAGTCTCTCTCTACTCTCTCACATGGGCACTCTCTCTCTAAAATTAAATAAATAAATAAACAAACAAACAAATAAATAAATATATAGGATAAGAGGGTTAGTCAAGAAAGCAAGTCCCATAGTCAGTAATCCATGTAGGTATTATTTTCAGATAACTGAGCAAGTAAAATTATCTATACACAAGTAAATTTCTGTCAATTTTTATTTTGGGTAAACAATCATGATCAAACTGAATAAATTCTACCACTATTTTTTAATAATTTAGAAATAAGAACATGATTATTGCATGTTTCCCCTCTCCTATTGTAGAAATTCAATTATATATTGAAAAATCACAACTAGTAAAACATGAAGGCATAAATGAAATACATCACACAGTTATGTAGACAAGGAAATAATACACATTTAGCTCATGTTTTCTTATCTGAATAACCACACAATACATTTCACTTTTGCACATAGGCGATACTTTATTAGTATGTTTATCATACTAAACTATATTTAATTTTGTATTCCTGATGCTTGCACATTTCCTGGAACAATGATGACACCCACTAACTGTTTATTAAATTTTAAAATGACTTTATTCTAAACCTAATAACTGTTAATTGAATTAAATTTTAGAATGACTTTACTTTAAAATTCTCCAAGCATTAACCTCTCTATTGATTTTAGGATTACTTCTTTGCCCCCAAAAACTAGGTAATTTAAAATTCTGTCCACAAGAGAGCTAGTATTTGCAGAGTACCACATGCGAGCATTTTACATGCTCTATATCTTTTGACCCTCATAAAAATACTAAAATGTAGGTATTTATGTTTGTTAAGATATAGGTTAAGCTACTTTAACAGAGACCCAAATATACATTAACTTAAAAAAAAAATAAATACATGTTTATTTCTTCCTCAAGGAATATTTAATACCTAGGGTGATCCAGAGTGGATTATCCCAAGAGAGCTCTGCCAGACTCCAGGTAGAGCTTAGTCCAAGATGGGGCTGTTTCCCATGTCCAGCGATTGCCATTTCCCAGTCAGTGGAAAAAGGGAAAAAGTAAATGGAAGACAAGCAAGATTTTTAAAGGATATTATCTGAAAGTTGCATATATTATTTGTGTTCTCCTTTTGGCTAGAACATGGTCAGATGGTCACAGCAACAAGGGAGGCTAAGAAATGTAGTCTCTAGCTGTAGAGCAGGAGCCCTACTAAAATATGTGTGTGTATAATGGAGTAGGTTGAGGTAGATGTACTGGGAATCACTGTGATATTAATGTGGTATAACCTTTAGAGTCCCTCACCTACCCAACCTCCTTCCGAGGCCCTGGAGAACAGGGAGCTAGCAAATTATTCATTTTTTTATTACGTATCTTTTTTTCTTAACACTTCCAAAAGATAAATCTGTCCCTGACATGCAGGGTTCATCTATAAAAGATACACAAAGAATGAATTCTGGAGGAAAATTCACTGTTTCTTCCCCAAAATAATTTCCTTTTTTTTTTTTTTTTTACCATTGAGTTCCAGAGAGGTTAAGTATCTTGCAAAAAGTCACATAGAGCTGGAGCTAAAATTAGAACCTGGGGTCTCTATGACTCAAAGACTTTTGACTATTATATTTCTAGGGCATCAATTGCTCATATCTTTTAGAATTTTATTTCCTCCTGGAAATCGAATAGTGCCTTCTGGCACTATCTCAGAGAAAAGCTGGACAATCTAGAAATTATGAGGTAATTGGTACATTGCTTTGTCCCTATCTGTTCAGATGATCTTGAGAGACAAAGTGAAAGTGAAAGAGAACATGCAAAGCCCAGCTGCCAAGCTGACGTGACAGCCAGTTAGTTGGGGCGATGCCACTCTCAGATCAACCCAAAAGTTAATAACACAGATGCAGTCAAAGATCTGATGGATAGAGGCTGTGAACTCTGTATCAGTAAGTTACAGTGAATGCCTGGAGGTGGCAGATGAAGAGGCCTATCATCAATTAAGCATGGCAGCCCATTTTATAAAATTGTCAGAGGGGATTGTTAAATTTCACATCTTAGTTTGCTTGGGGAAAAAATCAAATAACACTAAAGGTTGCATTTTAAAAACAATGTTTAGTGTAAACTCTTGCTTCTGGCCTCATGTCAAGCCATCAAAGAGGTGCTGTACAATTTGATCCATGCTTTTCATTTTCCATTTCTGAGCCAAGGTATTTCTTCATAATTATTATTAAAAGTTTTTTTAATCTGATTATTAATTTTTAGTGTAATAATTTCATAACTTGGAGAAATATTTAATTATCAAGAAAACAATCTTAACATCTGAATATGAGTGCAAGTGGAATACTTATTCAGCATATTGGCTTAAATGCACAGTACTCAAAATAATATTCCGTAACGACCCTTGGATGCAAAATTTGCTTTTTATAAATTTCCTTATTCACAGTAAATTCAGAAAAACATGCTGCATTAAGTCATGGTGGACTTAAATTGGTCTGTCTCTAGATGTGTTTTTTTTTTTTTTTTTTAGATTTCAAGACTTGATTCAGAGGGTTCCGTCTAGTTTGAGTTAAATTTATTATGGATCAGCTTAATTATCTACCCATTTATACTAAATCTTAAACTTCCTGTAATATGTCAAATTCCTATGAATGCCAAAATTATTTGGTAGTACATTGAAAAAATTTAAAAGACCCAATATAACACTTTTTAAAAGGCAATTATAGTGATAACACAATCGCTATTAAGGTATAACAAGTTTTCAAAGCATCTAGAAACCATTCACAGTTATTTTACCATGCACATTTTCACACTTAGCATTGTGATATAGTTTCAGTCCCTGTTTACTAACTTAATATGACTGGCTGAATACCCTCTTAAGGAAATTATTTTTCTCTAGCATTGGATTAATATTATCCTATGCTTCTTACTTTTTATTGGCAACAAGGTATCCCCAATTCTATATCATGATCCACTCAAATTAATGACCTATTTGATGGACATCACTAAAATAGTTTGCAAATTTGATTCTAACAAAATGAAATGCCACACAATCATCAACTTGAGGTGGTACACTGAAAAGAGCTCGGGGTACCAGAAAGCTGTGGAAATTGTTGAAAATAACTATTCTATATATTGATATGAAGAAAAAGATCATAGAATTCTGGAATTATAAAGCATAGGAGTTATTTAGGCCAACACTCTAATTAAATAGGCCATGGACCAAAAACTAGCTTTGATAAAGTTCCTAAAATGACTTGGCACCTGAGCCAAGGTTTGGACCTAGTTACTGCCTTGCCAAAGATCATACATTCCCCAAAATGGCATGGATACAATGAAAAGAGCAGTATTTGAATATACTTATATGAACTGAACAAATTATGGATCAGCATTTTATCCTATTCAAACTTCTCACCTATTAAGTAATTCTTTGTGCCCTCCTAACCCTCCATATATCATCCTAGATGGAGAATAAAATCATGTGGTTGTGGTGCTGAGAAAGTTTGCGCTCTCTTTTATGTTCCAAAACGTTCCACCTAGTAACAAGGAAATGTAAATTAATTGTTTGACTGGCTCAGTGCCTTATTGGTTGACTTTAGAATAACTGGTTGACTGATTGTCTGACAGACTAGGGCTTTTCAGGGAGGGTCAAGTTTACAATTCTCTACAGGCTCTAGTAAACTTCCAGTGTCAAATGTTATTGACAAATCTGCTATCTGGAATAACTTGGTACTCAATAGTTTTTAGTGAGACAAATTTCTAAAAATAACAGAAATCTCTAAATCTTTCTTAATCCAACCACCATCTTTATGCCATTTTACACAAATGTACTAATTTTTAAAATTAAAGAATGTTCAATGTCTAAGGATGAAATTATATCGAGAGTAATTCAACACCTGATATTATGTGAAAGACAGACATAATATGTGATATTATGATACAAGAATAATATAGCACATATATTTCAAGATTTGGATATAAATGTGATGTCTTTCAAAAGGCAAATTTTCAATACAAGCTTTAAAATTAACATTTATCAACTTT